CAAACAAAGAAATTCATGTTCATTGGTTATGTTGCATAATTCTCTTAATTAAGTAGTATTCTATATTCTATTGGTTATTAATTTCTCACTTCTCATGGTAATTAGTCCACATTTTCAGTATTTTTATTATCTTTTTCCCAGATTGGGAGTGTTTCAGTAGACTGATTCTGAATTCTCTTTGTTAGTTTCTTCTTTATCTCTAGTTTCTGCGACATGTTCTTGTAGTCTATAAATTTTGAATTCCTGGTGTCCAATTCTCAGCAACTTATCTCTCCCCCAGGCTTTGTTTGTTGAAGCATATCAAAGTTGGTTTAGCAAAACTTTAAGTCTCAGTGATTTTCCCAAACTAGTTTCTAACAATTGCAGCTTTAAAAAAAACCCTTGCTAAAGTGGAAAATTACACTGCTGATGATTAATTAAAACAATTAATTAGGAAAGTTAATTAGGAAAGTGAGGCACCGCCCTGGTTGGGCTCCCTCACCAGCTGTGTCAGTTCCTTCTGGGCCGACTCCTCTCCCCCTGGGGGGGTTCCAGCAGGTCCAAGTCCCCCAGGAGTACAAGGGCTGGTGACCTTGAGGCTCCTGCAGAGCAGATCCTCTGCCTGTTCGTCCCACCTGGGTGGGGTCCACCAGCCTCCCCCGGGACACCCACCCTGCAGCCCTTCCCCTGATCTTTGCCCACAGCCTTGTCACCTTCATCTCATGATTTCAGCACAGGAGAAGCACCCCCTGACCTGTGGAGCCACCCCAGCACCTCCTTCTGAGGAGCTCAGAGCCACCCACGGCAGCACTCGGGTCATGCCCATCATCCCACCACCCTTCTTTGATGGCAGCTACCCCAGAGCTTTCCTGCTGCCCCGTGGCTCCTGCACATGCTGTAGCTGCTCTTGAGCTGGATTCTCACCCCCAACACCGGCCTGATGCCCCCAGGCTCATCTCTGCCCAGCCTGGGCTTATCCCCCTTCCCCTCCAAGCCCAGTGTAAAGCCCCCTCAATCAGCTCCACCCGCTCATGGCCCAGAACTCTTTTCCTCCCTGGGACAGGTGGAACCTGTTCCCAGCAGGTCCAGGGCCACCTAAACCACCCCAGGGTCAAACCCCCAAATGCCACCCATAGCAGCAGCCTCTGCCATGGATCCATCAGGGCAGTTTTCCTGTCCCTCTCAGTACTTGCCCTGGTGCTGAGGGAGCTGAGAACATGAGCTGGGGGGCAGCCCTAAGGGGTGGCCTGGGGTGCAGGGGGACAGGGGTGTGGGGCAGTGGAGGAGGGACCCTTGACATGCTGCCTGATGGCCCTGCCTGTGCTCGCTGCCTGCAGCCCCCTGCTCCCTGCCCGCTGGTCCCTACTGGTGCTGTGCTGCCCATACCCCTGCCTGCAGCCCTTTGTGCTGCCCACACCCTGCCTGTACCCTGCCTACACCTCTACCTGCACCCCTGCTGCCCAGCCCCCACCTCACAGCCCAGCTGCCCCTTGCCCGTTCCTGCCACTGCTGGTGCCCATCCCGGGGTCACTGGCACTGCCCATCCCGGTGCTGCTGCCACTGTCGGTGTCACTGTCGGTGTCACTGTCGGTGTCACTGTCACTCCTGACCCTGCTGTTGCTGTCAGTGCAGGTCCTGGTCCCCGTCCCGGTGTCCCTGTCACTGCTGTCCCAGTGTGTCTGTCCCTGTCCCTGTCAGTGCTGTCTCAGTGTCCGTGTCTGTCCCGCTGTCCCTGTCAGTGCCAGTCCTGTTGTCTCTGGTCTCTGCAGGGTTTTAGGAGTGAGAGGGGGTTGGGGGGTCCTGAGTCCTGACCCTGGAGCGGAACCAGGTGGCACCAGGGGACAGACGGGGATCAGCCCTGGCAGGCCCAGCTCCAGGCTCTGCTCAAGCCCCCCAGCACCTGCAACCCCCCGGGCACTTGTGACCCTTTGCTGGTATCTGCACCCACATCCCTCCCTGGTACCTGCATCCCACCCCCCATCCCCTGCTCCTGCATCCCTTCCCAGTACCTGCAACCCTCCCTGGCACCCACATCCCTTCTGCAGTACCTGCATTCCCCTCTGGTACCCACGTCCCTTCCCAGCACCCACACGCCTCCCTGGTCTCTGCATCCCACCTACATTTCCTCCCACATACCCCTTCCTGGCACCCCCATCCCTCCCCCACTAACTGCATTCCCCCCCATCCTCACTGAGCCCAGGTCTGTGAGAGCCCCACCTCACCCCTGCCCCAAAGCACCCCCAAAGGGCTCCCCACTGCCCCAGTTCCCACAATAATTCAGAATCAGGAAAGCAAATCCCTAATTCTGGGCTCCTTTTTGCCCATTTATTGGATGTTTTTCCATCCAGCAGCATTCCCAGCCCCCAGGAATCATCGTCCTTTGGGGGGCCTGGGGGCTGTGATGCTCCATTCTCCCACCAGCCCCCACTTCTCTCCCCCAAAGCCCTCATTTCTCTCCCGACTTGGACTTTGGGGAATTTTCCCCATTTTGAGGGGTTTGGGGACATTCCCAAGCACTGGCACGGAGCTGCTCCCAGAGGGGATAACACTCCTCCCTGCAGCTCTCAAACCTCATTTCTCTCCTTTACAGCACCTTTTTCACCCCTATTTCACCCCAGATCGGGCTCCTGGCACTCCTGCTTCACCATCCCCCTCTGGATGCCACAGAATCCAGCAGCAAATCCAAATCCAAAACTCTTTTCCACCAAAACACTCATTTCCCCCTTTAGTAACTTCTTTGGGTGCTGACACTCCATGGTGACCCTGGGGGTCCCCAGCTGGGGGGGTCACACTGTCCCCCCGGTCCTGCTCCCCCCCAGCCCCCAGTGAAGCCTCCACAGCCCAAAGGGGGGATCACCCTCCCCCCGGGTGCTGCTGGAGCTGGGATGGGATCCAGGAGCCTGGCACCACCCCCCAGCTCCACCTGGGGAGGGTAAGGACAGCTGGGACCCTGCATTTGGGATGGAAGGAGGGACTATCCCAGTGCCAGGCTGGGGGGTTCATGGAATCTCCCCCCTTCCACTGCCTCTTCCTCCTTCACTTCCAGAGATTTCCACCTGGAGCAGATGAATCCTGGCTCTGTGACCTCTCCTGGCCCTTCCCGAGCCCCCAAACCAGAGGAGACACTGGTGTGTCCCCCTCCAAGGGCTGATCCACCAGCAGAATTCCCTGTGCAGCATCCTGCTCCGTGTCAGATCAGTCGGGAATCTCCCTCCAGCTCGACCACAGGGTCACAGATGCCGGTGAAGTGGATCTGGGAGGAAGAAGAGGGAGGGGAGGAAGGCCGAAGGCTGTGGCTCACATAGGCTTCCAGGGATCTCAGCAGCTGCCTTGGCTTCTTTTTGGTGGATAATTCCAGCTCTAGAAGGGTCAGAGGGGGAAAAGGTTGAGGGGAGCAACGCCTGGATGTTGTCAGAGGCCCAACAGACCCAGCATCCCAATGTTTTCCCTTGGGAAAGGGTGTAATCGTGTTTTCCTTGGGATGAGGGAGCATGGGAAGCTCCTCTCCACCCCCAGCTCAGCACCAGCCTAACCCCCCTGGGACTGGAATCCAGGGAAGATGGGACAAAGCCAGAACTCAGCAGTGCCAGCTGGATCCCCATTTCCGGGGGATCCATTAGCTCTGTTGACACCAATCCCCTCTGGAATAAATAACTCATGGCCTGGGGTTAAGCTATGGCTCTGTGTGAGCCTGGGGAGAAGGGAATGTCCCCACATGTCACCCACCTCAAGCCACCCTGGCACAGCATCCCTCTGGAATGAAAAATGGGGGGGAGGAAAAACCCCTTGGAGCACTGGGATAGGGAAAAATTGTGGAAAACCTCAGTGTGAGGATTAAACGGGGAATGTTTGGGCTTCTTGGGCTTTACAGCCCTTGGAACTGGGCTGAGAACACAGTGGGGGGTCTTCAGGTTGTCCTGGGGTTGTTTTCCCAGGGAAAATACGGAGAAGAAAACGCTGGGAAGACAAACCCTTGAGGAAGGACCCGGCGTCGGCGACAGTCCCGCACTGCCGCTTCCAGAGGCGGAAGAGCCGCAGGAAGGCGGCGGCGTAGAGGTCGTTCAGCACCCCAATGACCTGCTGCCGGCGGTTGCATTCCCTGGAAAATGGGGAGAGGGGCTTGGCCACATCCTGGGAAGGGCCCTGGATGCGGTTTGAGAGCCCAGAGCAGCCCCCCCTCACCGGGAGAGCCGCTCCTCCCGCAGCGCCTGGATGACGATCCGGGTGATGTTCACGGACATGATGCAGAAGGGAAAATTCTGGGAAAGAACCAGGATTCCGGTGTTATTGCAGCTCAGATGGAAAACCCTCCTCCCCTCTGGTACCTCCAACCCTTTGACACCACATCTGTGTGGCCCCAAACCCACGGGATGGGTGACAGACCATTACTGGGATAACAGCTCTATGGATCCAGGCTTGGATGGATGCTGACAGTTGAGCCAAGCTTGTACTCCAGGCTTAAACCTGGACTAAAATGTGGAATTTAGGGAGACAGGCTCCACTCACTTCCATTTTCCTGTTGCCCAACTCTCCAGCCCTTTTATCCCACTCTAAGCCAGGATCAAATCTTTAAAATCCCATTCCCAGCACAAATCCAGTACCTGGAGCTCAGCTCCAGCCTGGATTGGGGCTCCTTGGGCACCACCTTCCTCCCCTCACCAGCCCGAGGGGGTTCAGCATCCCAAAAAAATCCCTGGAGAGGTTCTTGTTCTTCCCTTTCCTGGAGCACTGGGAATTCCGAGGGAGATCCCCCCGCAGGGGGGAGGGGGAAGGCCGTGCCTGGGTTTCATGCTGGGAGAGCTGGAAGATCTCCCTGGCCAGTGGCAACATCCGGGAGTCCAGGACGAAGAACAGGATCTGCATCAGCCCCAGCATTCCTGTCCCACGCAGGTCGGTCCCAGGATCCACACCTGGGGGCCAGGGACAGCATGGAGTCACTCCCTGTCACCTTCTTATTCCCTGTCACTGCACTTCCAGGGTACAGGAATCCTGGGGATTCCCTTCCTGGAGGGAAAGCTTCCAGGGAATGCCCCTAATGGGGCCACCACCTCACTCACTTGGGCATTAACCAACCCTGCTCCTCCTGCTACACTCCTGTTCCCACACTTTTCCAGGAATTACCAGCCTTTTTAGGCACATGGTACTGGGATGACCTGACCAAGCAGTCCAGTTGTGCTGGGGCCACTTTGATTTAGTATCTATGGATAAAGGGATTGAGGGCACCCTTGGGAATTTTATAGACACATGGAGAGGAGTGTGAGGATTGGGGTGAGGCTGCACCTCAAATCCAGGGATCAATTTTGGGGTCCGAGAAGGACACTGAGGTGCTGGAGCGTGTCCAGGGAAGGGCAATGGAGATGGGGCTGAGGGAGCTGGGATAGGACAGAGCTGCTCCAGGGGAGGTTAAAGTGGAGTTTGGGAATAGCCAGAGGTCGTTGCCAGTCCTACCCTGGAATCCCAGCTCCTCCCAGTGTGTCCCATAGCGGGGGCAGCCCCGGCGGGAGCGCGTCAACTGCCGGTAGATGGTCTGGAGGATCCGCATGTGCACCCGCTCCGAGTCATCCAGGGCGCCTGCCAGGAGGGAGGAGGGACACCCCGGGGGGAGGGAACGCCCCACGTGGCTAAAAACACCCCTGGGATCTAAAAAACACCCCCCGGCACCCAAAACCAGCTCTCAGCACCCCAAAAACACCCCCCGCTGCCCCCAAAATGCCCTTCAGCCTCTCAAACAACAGCACATCCTCCAAAAACCCACCCCAGAGCCTGAAACACCCCATGGCACCTTAAAAATCCCCACAGTTCCCCAAGAGACGCCCCTTGGCTCCGAAAAAACACCCCCTGGCTACCAAAAACCCAGCCCTCGGCACCCAAAAGATGCATCTTGGCACCCAAACAACACCCTGGAGCAGCTAAAAACACCCCCTGGTGCACAAAAAACATCCCCTGACACTGTAAGAAATCCCACAGTGCCCAAAAAATGCCCTTTGGTGCCCAAAACCCAACCACAGCCCCCTCAAAAATGCCCCCCGGCACCTAAAAAATACCACTTGGCACCTTCAAAACCCCCTTGGTGCCCTAAAAAAGCCCCTCAGCCCCCAAACCCACAGTCCCGGGGTTTCCCTGTGTGGGACCCCCTGGGATGGGCAGACGCGACCCCCCCATGCCGAGGGACTGGGGGATTCCCATCCCATCCCATCCCATCTGTCCACGGACTGAGGGGCAGGAAGCGCTGGGGGGATCCTGCCCGGAGCCGTGTCCATGGGGAGCGGGCAGGGGGATGAGATCCAGCACTCCCTGGAGCCGGGAGCAGAGGGGACCCGGGGCCACTCACACTGTGCCATGGCCAGCACCAGCTCCCGCTCCCCCCGGAGCTGTGGCCGGAGCCGGGGGGGCCCCCCGAGGCAGCGCAGCAGGACAGCCAGGCCCCCCCGGCGCCCCGGCCCCCGGACTTTCCTCTGTGGGAGAGACCCCAGACCCGTCAGGGCTGAGCCCCCAGGGGTGAGGGGGGCTGGGTGCCCCCCAGCCCTAATTCCTGCCCTGCCCCCGGGGCCGTACCCGGCTCTGGGAGAGCCCGGAGCTCTGGAAGTGCTGCAGCGCCTCCGCGAAGGAAATCGGGGGAGGGGGCACAGGCGAGGTGCCCCCCAACCCTGCAGGGAGAGAGGGAGGGGGTTAGACCCCCCCAGTGACCCTTGAACCCCCAGTGACTCTTGACCCCCCCAGAGTGACCCCCAGGAGGGTGGAACCATGGGGAATAGGGGTAAAACAGGGAATCTCCCACGCCCTCCCTTCCCTCCACCCCCAAATAACCCCCCCAGGTGCTCCCCCACCCATCCCGCCCCCTGGGATCCAGGTCCTTCCCTCCTTCCCAGACCCTTGTTCCCAGTTGTTCCCAGTACCTGACTGGATCTCTTCCAGAGCCTCCCATTCCTCCTGGGCCCGCTGCTGCTCCTCGCTGATCCCTGCCCGAGGGGAGGAGCACAAGGGTCAGATCCGGGTGGGAGACACGGGATGGGGGGACTTGGTCCCTTCCCCCAGCACATCCTCGAGCTGGATTTCCATTTTTCCAGGGAAAATCCCAACTGCAAGGTTTACCTTGGGTGGTCTTAGGGAACAAGCCGGGACCAGATGGATTTGATTGAGACCTCCCCGCTGGATCCCTGGGGTCCCTCCCAGCCCCCCAGGTGACCTTCCCACCAGGAAACGCCGGGATCGATCCAAAAGAAGCAGGAGAAGCTCACCAGGGTCCGAGCACTGCTCCGCTCCAAGCACCAACGCCTGTAGGACCCCATCCTGCCCCAGAGCCGGGATCTGGGGGGAGAGAGGAAACCAGTGTCACCCTCCGGGACAGATCCCAAACACCAACCGACCCCAAACCCCGAGGATTTCCCCCCGGGAACCGCCCTCGTGCCCCACTGGAAAGCGGCTCAGGCCCCTTCGGAAGGAGGTTTCGGGGGGGCGATTGTGCCCCCAAGATGATTTTACACGGATACAATCGAGCGGTGAGGGGGAATGGGGGGCTGGAGCCCCTGAGGTGAGGAGGCCCCCGGGGGCTCGTCCGGGGGGCTCCGGCCGGACACGCACGGGCAGGGACTTGCCGGGGGAAACACGCGCGGCCGCTGCTCCAGCCACTGCTCCGGCCGCTCCGAGCCCCCGGCGCCGCTCATGCCCTGCGGGAGGAGAGCGGGGCGGAGATCAGAAGGTGGGGAGGAGGGTCCTGGAGACTGACACCCCCCAGCACCACCCCGGCCCCGCAGGAGCCCACTCAGGACCCCCCCACGGGCACCCTCAGGAGCCTCCTCCGGCCTCCCAGTGCTCCCCTCCAGCCCCTCAGGAACCACCCCGGGTCCCTCCCAGCCCCTCCAGATTCCCTCCCAGTACCTCAGGAATCCCCCCGGGTCTCTCGCAGACCCTCAGGCCCCCCTAGATCCCCTCCCAGTCCCTCAGGAGCCCGCTTGGGGTCCCTCGGGGACTCTCAGGGCCCCCCCAAAGCCCCTCCCGGGGGTCCCGTTCCCGCCCTGACCCCGCGGGACTCCTCCCGGCCCGGCGCCGCCGCAGTGCGCAGGCGCGGCCGCGCTGCACGCCGGGAGCTGGAGTCCCCGCTGTCGCTCTCTGGGAGAGACGGGGACTACAACTCCCGGCGTGCACCGCGCGGGGCGGGGACGGGGGCGCGCGAGGGCCAGAGCGCGGGAACGGAGACGGGCGGGACCAGGGGGCGGGGCTATGACGGAGGGCGGAGCTATGCACAGGGGGCGGGACTCTGATCGGGGGCGGGGACTGGGGACAGTGGGGCGGGGCTACAGGCGCTGGGGCGGGGGTGGCCAGTCCCCGGGACCAGTACTCAGTCCCAGCTCCCATTGCTCAGTCCGAGCTCCCAGTGCCACTCCCAACTCCCAGTATCCCACTACCAGCTCCCAGTGTCAGCTCCCAGTGCCCCCTTCCCACCTCCTAGTGCCCAGTGCCAGTTCCCAGACCCAGCTCCCAGTGCCCTGTGACAACTCCAAGGGACTCCGTGACTCCGTATCCCAGTGCCGGCTCCCAGTGCCCAGTGCCGCCTCCCAGTGCCCAGTGCCCAGTGCCTCCGTCCTGCTTGGAGCTCCCAGTGCCCTGTGACAGCTCCCAGCGCCAGCTCCCAGCAGCCACTGCCTGCTTCATTGTTCCAGTTCTAGGAATCCCAGTGCCCGCCCCCAGTACCCAGTTCCGTGACTCGGTTCCAGCTCCCAGTTCCCAGTGCCAACCCCCGCCCCTCCCGCGGTCCTCCCGCCCAGCGCCGGTGCCGTTCCCCTTTTCCGCTGTCCTTATCGGCCTTGTCCCCCTCGCCCCCGTTATTCCCGTTCCCGCTGTTCCCGGCTCCCGCTCCGCCGGACGGCGCAGCAACATGTGGCTGCAGGCGCTGCTCTATCTCGTCCCCCTCCTTCTCCTCGTCCTCCTCCTCCTCTTCCTCATCCCGGTCCTCTTCTTCCTGTTCCCGCAAGTCTCGGGCGGCCGCAACCCCTTCGCCGCCGACAGCCGCCGCCCGCCCGGGCCGCTCGTCACCGACAAGGCTGTGCGGAGGAGCGTCGTCAAGACAGGTACGGGACCCCCGGCGGGCATCGACCCCCGGGACAGAATTGGCCCTCGGGGCGGTGTCACCCGCCGGGGTGGCGTTAATCGCCACGGCATTGCCCCTGGAGCGGAATCACCCCCCGCGCTGTCGTGGCCCCCCGGGGCAGCACTGACTCCCCCAGGGCGGCATCTCCACCTGGGGCAGCATCAGCGCCCCAGGGCGTCCCCCCCGGGTGGCGTCAGACCCTCGTGTCAGTCTGAAACCACCCAGGGTGGCACTGTCCCTCCCCCATGTGGAGTCCCCCCCTCTGTCAGTGTGACCCCCCCCAGGGTGGCATTGTCCTCCCCCGGGGGGGGTCACTCTCTCTGTCACTCTGAAACCCCTCAGGGTGACATTGTTCCACCCGGGGTGGTGTCACCCTCTAAGGCAGTACGAGCCCTCAGTGTGGCATTGTCCCCCAGCGCTGGAGTCCCCCCCTATGTCAGTATGACCCCCCAGGGTAGCACTGTCTCCCCGGGTGGTGTCACCCCCTATGTCAGTCTGACACTCCTCAGTGTGGCATTGTCATTGCCCCACCGCTGGAGTCCCCCCCCGTGTCAGTATGACCCCCCCAGGGTGGCACTGCTCCCTCCCGGGTGGGGTCAATCTGAAGCCCCCCAACATGGCATTGTCCCCCCAACGCTGGAGTCGTCCCCGTGTCAGTGTGACCCCCCTGAGGGTGACACCCCCCAGCCTGGCATCACCCCCTGGGTGCCACCCCCTCGCCGTGGTTTTGGGGGTGCCCCCCTCGCTGACACGCCGCTGTTCCCGCAGTGTTCTCGGCGGAGAAGGTGCCCCCGCAGCTCGATGCCATCGTGGTGGGCAGCGGCATTGGGGGGCTGGCAGCAGCCGTGCTCCTGGCCAAAACCGGCCGGCGGGTGCTGGTGCTGGAGCAGCACGGGAAGCTGGGGGGCTGCTGCCACACCTTCACCGAGAAGGGCTTCGAGTTTGACACCGGTATGATTTGGGGCCCCAAAATTCCCCCCCGGATCCAAAGGAGGGGGCTGGGACACCCTCGAGGTGGGAATCGCACCCATCAGGGGTCAGATCAGGGGGCCCCAGCACCCACCCTGTGTTAGACAAGCTTGCTCTTCACCCCAAAATTCTCTGGCTGAAGGACACCAAACCCCCCTGAATTCCCCATATCTGGCCCCTATGGAACTCTCAGCACCAGGAATATCACCTTAGGACAAACTTGGCACCTCCCTGAAAAGCTCCTCGCAGCGGGGCAAAGTCCAGCTCTATGTATTCCCAGAGCTCCAGGATTAATTATTTCCAGCAGAGATGAAAAATGACGATGTGTAACAAAATTCCCAATTAAAAACACCACAGCAAGCAGCATTCACCCCAAGTGGGAGGCATGTGTATCCCGGATTTTCCCTTTCCCTTCCATAGGGAGCTGCTGAGGTGGGGATGGAAAAACAAGAGCAGGGTCCTGTATGTCCCAGGGTGGAAAAAACCAGGAAAAATACCAAAATGTAACAAAATTCCCCAGATTCCCAAATAAAAATGTGATGGCGAGCACTGTTCACCCCAAGTGGGAGGTGTGTGTATCCCAGATTTTACCTTTCCCTTCCACATGGAGCTGATGGGGAGGGGATGGATAAACAAGAGGTGCATTTGGTGCATCCTGGAGTGGGAAAATAAAGGAAGAAAAAGGAAAAATAAATAAAAAAGGGGACAAAAACGGTAAAATGTCTCTTTTAGGGATCCACTATGTGGGGGAGATGCAGGAGAGCTCCCTGATGCGGTTCCTGGTGGACCAGCTGACGGATGGGCAGCTGGAGTGGGCCCGGCTCCCGACTGTCTACGATGCCGTGGTTTTGGGGGACCCCCAGGGCGATGGCAAGACCTACCACATCCATGCTGGGAAGCGGGAATATTACCAGAAGCTGAAGGAGCAGTTTCCCGGGGAAGCTGCGGCCATCGATGAGTTCCAGCGGCTGGTGAAGGTAGAGGAGCATCCAGGTGGGATAAAACAGGGGGGTTTGGATCTGGAGGATCATACAAAGAGGGGAAACCCTCTGACACCCAGATACTGGGCACCCCCAGGAATAATGGCCTTCTCCCAAAGTGTTGGGAAACACATCCAAAGTCACCCTTTCCTGCCTCAAAACCCCAGCACCACAGATCTTTTTGGGGAGATTTTCTGGGGGGGACATTTTTTGAGGGACCTTTTTTATAGAGCTTTTTGGGGGAGTTTTTTGGGAGGACCTTTCTGGAGGAGTTTTGTGGGGGAGCTTTTGAGCAGAGTTTTTCTGATTGGGGGAGAGCTTTTTTGGGGGAGTTTTTATGGGGAGCTTTTTTAGGGGGAGCTTTTTTGAAGGGAGATTTTGGAGGGGGGAAGTTTCTTGGGGGAGCCAGCGCTCCCCTTGTCCACAGCTCCCCAGGATGCCCAGCAGTGAATTTAAGGGGAAAAAGGTGCTTTGGGGCATCTTTGGGGCGTGGCCCCAGCGTGGACCCGCTGACCCCGCGCTCCCCCCGCAGAGCACCAGCCGTGGGGTCGTGCTGATGGGTGTCCTGAAAATGCTCCCGCGGTTCCTGGTGAGGCTCCTGTGCTGGTCCGGGCTCCTCCCGCGCTTCTGCTCCTTCTCCCGCATGGCCTCGCGCAGCCTCAAGGAGGTGGTGGACAGTCTGACCCCCAACCCTGAGCTCCGGGCTGTCCTCAGCTACATCTTCCCCACCTATGGTAGGTGACCAGGAGGCTCCAAGGTGGCGTCAAACCCTTTAGAAACAAACAGAAAAAAGGCAAGAAACCCCTTTTCTCCTGTCCCCTCGGGAGGTGTGTGGGGGAGGGCTGCTGCGTGGTGGGTGCTCCAACAGTGTCCTTGTCCCCAAGTCACTGGTGGGTTATCCACATGTCCCTGTTTCTCATCTCCATCTTGTTCCCTCCACGTCCTTCACCTTCCCAATAGGGCAGCATCGGTCCTGCACAAGGGAATGTCCCCACCTGGAATCCCTGAACCTCCCCCTTGCCTCCATCCCATCACCCAGGGCTTTGCTCATGGTCCACCACGACTTGGTCGGGTTGGTGACCATGGGCTTTGCCACAGGGACACCCATGTCCAACGTCCTCCCCGCTCCTCCAAGTTCCTCACCCACATCCCTCCTTCTTCCCAGCGTCGTGTCTATGGTGTTCCTCATCCTAAACCCTTTAGGATGAGCCCCAAACCCGTGATTTGGCCCAAACCCACCTTGGCTGCCCCTTTTTCCAGGTGTGATCCCCTCCAAGGTCAGCTTCTCCATGCACAGCATCCTGGTGAACCACTTCCTCCGTGGCGCGTGGTTCCCCAAAGGCGGCTCCGGGGAAATCGCCTTCCACACCATTTCCGTGATCCGGAAAGCCGGAGGCAACGTGTTTGGGAAGGCACCGGTGGAGAGGATCCTGCTGGACTCCCAGGGCAGAGCCTGCGGTGAGCGCCGGCGCGGGATGGGGCGGGGGGCTGCTCCCCGGCGCGGGGGTCCCTTCACCGGCACCGCTCCTCCCGCTCCGGATTTTCCCTCCCAGGTGTGAGTGTCAAAAAAGGCCAAGATCTGGTGAACATCTACGCTCCCTTAATCATTTCGGACGCCGGGATATTCAACACCTACGAGAAGCTGCTGCCACCGGAGGCGCGGGCCCTGCCAGGTACCGCGTCAGCGCCGGGCTCTGGCAGGGTTACAGCGTTAATCCTGTCCTAAGCTTCATCCCAAAGCGCATTTATCAATTAA